TCTTGGTATACTTTATTCTTCCTATGTTATTGATTGTTGATTGTTGTCTATTACTATGAGTTTATTGCGATATCTTATTTTTACGTTGTTGCATTTATTACTTTAAGCCCAATAAGTGGTATCAAAACGAGGGTTATTTTGAGACAATGATACAAAAGTAGCCTAAGACAAAAGTAAATTATATTTGAGATCATGGAGGGTGATACAGGTTTCATGATAGAATTAATAGCATTAAATTATTCAATTTGAAAGCCTACGATAGAAGATCATTTATACTACAAAGATTTGTATAAGCTAGTATTGGGTGATTCGGCTAAACCAGCAGATATGAAAGATGAAAGTTAAAAGAAATTAGGCAAAAAGACGCTGGTTACAATAAAAAAAATGGGTTGATATCAGTGTGTTCCATCATGTAACATAGAAGATAGATACCCACACTGTTTGAAAAAAATTGGTAGCATTTCATGAAAGAAAAATAGGTATGAATAAAGTTATGCTCGTTAAAAAGCTTACAACTTTATAGTACAGGGATGAATGATCTATTACAGAGCAATTGAGTGATTTTTAAGATATTTCATCGGATGACTATTATAGAGCTTAAGATGAATGATGAAATAAAGGTATTTTTTTGAGTCATTACCAGATAGCTGGAATACTCTAGTTGTGACTATTCTTAATTCAACTTTTGATTATAAGGTGACATTAGAGATGGTAAAGGACAATATGCTTAATAAAAAAGAAATGCGAAAAGATGTAGACCTTGAGAATCAAGCTCTGGTCACAGAGAACAGGGATAGAAACATCGACAGAGGTCAGAACCCAAAAGGCCGTAATAAGTCTAAACATAAATCTAAGTCCAGAGATAAAGTAAAATGTTTCTATTATGGTAAAGCAGGTCATATAAAATGACACTGTAAAATCTTGAAGCAATAGTGAAAAGATGAAAAAAGTAAGAGTTTGAATGATGGCAATGTTGTAATAGTGAATTCAAATAGTGATTCAGTTACTTTGATTTGTAGATATAGTGATTGTAATCATGTTGGTGATCTCGACATTGAGTGGATACTTGACACAGGACTGGCATATCATTGTGTTCCTAAGATAGAGTTGTTTACAACTTACAAAGCAGGAGATTTTGGTTGCACCAAGATGGAAAACAATAGTGTGTCAAAGATTATTAGAATTAATGATATTGTTGTACAAACTAGTACATGATGCATGTTGACTTTGAAGGATGTCAGACACATTTCAGATATGAGAATGAACTTGCTTGTCATTAATGTCTTTAATAAGGAAGGATATGAAAGTTGACAAAAGAATGGGCAATGAAAGCTTCCTAAAGGATCTATGGTAGTTATAAGGAAAAAAGTATGCTGCACAATGTATAAAACATAGATATAATTGAATGGCAACTAGGTAAATGCTATTGAAAATGATGCTCAACAAACTTATGGCATAATTTGGCAAGGCAGTCTTTCATTCCCTTGACCAAAAGTATGTCACTCGATTCATGTGATTATTGTTTATTTGATAAGCATCATAGAGTTTTTTTTTGTAAGAGTTCTTAGAGAAAATAAAATAGATTAGAATTAATTTATTTTGACATATGTGGTCCCATTGAGGTTAAGTCATTAGGTGGTAGTAGGTATTTTGTTACTTTTATTGATGATGTTTCACGTAAGATTTTGGTGTATATGTTGAAAAAAAAAGCCAGGTATTGTAGTACTTTCAAAAATTTGATCCCATGGTGGAAAGGATGATAGGGTTACCTTTGAAGTGTATTCGGACTGATAATGATAGGGAATACACATCCAAAGACTTTGAAGAGTATTATTCAAAGCATAGGATCAGGCATGAGATGATAAAACCTGAAACACCGCAGCATAATAGTGTAGCTGAAAAGATGAACCGCATAATTATGGAAAAAGTTATATGTATGTTAAAGATGGTAAAATTACCAAAGCCATTATGGGGTGAAGCGTTAACACAGCTTGTTATTTGCTTAACAGATTACTATCAATTTCTTTGGGCTTTGACATTCCAAAAAGAGTGTAGACAGGAAAATATGCTTCATACTTTCACTTGAAAATTTTTAGATGTAAAGCATTCATGCATTTATCGAAAAAATAGAGGTCAAAACTTAACAATAAAGTCACACAGTGTGTATTTGTAAGACATGGTGATAAGAAATTTGACCACAGGATATGAGATCCAGTGAAGAAAAAAATAGTTAGAAGCAAATATGTGATCTTTCATGAAAAAAAATCATAGTAGACCTTGAGAAAAATGAAAAGACTACATGGGTTACTATTGAGTGTGATGTTTTAACACCGACAGGAGTTCCACAAGAAAGAGTCATAAATGATGAAAATGAGCAAGAATAGAACTTAAGGATATGAATGAGCTAGCCATAGTTAGTGATAAGCTAGATACAATCAGTTTTAAGCAGAGAGAGCAATCCTCTCTACCTGAAAGTGTTGAATAGGAGGAGCTAATTTTGACATCAGGTGATGTAAAGTCTTAACCTAAGAGATCTACTAGAAAGTGTAGGCCTTTTACCAGGTATCGAAGTTTAGATTTTATTTTAGTTAATAATGAGAGAGAGCCAAAGAGCTTTCAAGATGTGCAAGCTATTCTGGATACAAAGTATTGGTTAAAAGCAATGAAAGAATAGATTGAGTCATTATGAAAAAATGATACTTATGATCTTGTTAAATTTTTGAAAAAGAAGAGACTGTTGAAAATAAACGGGTGTTCAAGTTGAAAAAGGATAGTGACAAGCAAGTGAGATACAAAAACTCAATTGGTGGTGAAAAGATTTTCTCAAAAATCAGGTATCGATTTTAATGAGATCTTTGCTCCAGTTATGAATATGAGTTTCATTCGAGTGGTATTAGGATTAGCAGCTAGTTTGAATCTTGAGCTTGAGCAACTTGATGTTAAAACTACATTCTTGCATGGTAACTTGCAAGAGGACATTTATATGAATAAGCCTGAGGGTTTTGAAGTAAAAAAGAAAGAGCACTTGGTTTTCAAATTGAAGAAAAGCTTGTATGGCTTAATACAAGCTCCATGACAGTGGTACAAGAAGTTTGATTCTTTTATGGTAAGTCACAACTATAAAAGAATGGGAGTGGATCCATGTGTGTATGTTAAAAAAGTCCCTGATGATAACTTTATTATTCTCTTATTATATATTGATGATATGTTGATTATGGGACAATATGCTAGTATGGTTTGTAGGTTGAAAGAATAATTGTCTAAGTCCTTTGACATGAAAGATTTAGGTCCAACAAAGTAGATTCTCGGTATAGACATTATCCGGGCTAGGAGAATTGAAAAGCTGTGGTTGTCACATGAAAAGTATGTTGAACGGGTATTTAGTAGATTCAACATACAACATGTTAAATTAGTTAACAGTCCACTTGCCAACTATTTTCATCTGAGTAAGAAATCTAGTTTGGTGTCTAAGGAAGAGCAACTAGCTATGTCTAGTATTCCTTATTCTTTTGCTGTTGGTTTTTTAATGTATCTTATAGTTTATACACAGCCTGACATTGTTCATACAGTTGATGTAGTGAACAGATTTCTTTCTAATTCAAGAAAAGTTCACTGGGAAGTAGTAAAATGGATTTTTCATATATTTGAAAGGCACCTAAAAAATGTGCTTAAGTTATGGAGTTTCATAACCAGTTCTAAAAGAGTTTACTGATGCTGACATGACAGGTGATCTTGATGATAGGAAATTTACTTCAGGGTATTTGTTCACTTTTGTATGAAGAGCTATATCTTGGCAATTTAAGTTACAGAAGTGTGTTACTTTGTCAACTATAGAGGCTGAGTATATTGCAGCAACTAAAGCAGGTAAAGAAATGCTTTGGATGAAACATTTTTTTTTCTTAAATTAGGGTAGAATAAAAAAAAGTATGTAGTGTTTTGTGATAGTCAGAATGCTTTAAATTTGAGTAAGAATGCCATGTACCATGTTAGAACAAAGCACATTGATGTTAGATATCATTGGTTACGTTTAGTAATTGAGGAATAGTAAATGCTATTGAAGAAAATCCATACTAATGAGAATGTAGTAGATATGTTAACTAAGATATTTCCCATAGAGAAGCTTGAGCTCTACAGTAACTTAGCCGGAATAAGTTCCTTGGCCAAGTTAAGTTCCAAATGAAACTGCTATGGTGATGAATCTCCTTCCAATGGGTTTGGAAAGAGAGATTGTTAGGAAAATGGGGTCCAGTCCCATATAATTGGTTTTGGACCAATCCAAGGCCATGGGCCTTGATCTTTCTTTTTACACAGAGCCTAGCTACTTAATAAAAAGAGGTGGGGCTATTTTAAGATGGTGTCACAAACCAATAAGAAAAAGAAAAAAAAAGCCAAGAAAAATAGAGAGAAAAAGGAGAAAAGAGAGTTGGTTGACCGAAAGTTGACCCGTAGTCCAATTGAGCTGAAACTTTGTCAGCAAGTTTATGATTTAGAGTTCTACATTCTGAACGGTAAAGAGTGGGTTTGAAGCTCTCTAGAAACAAATCCAAGGTGTATTTGTTGAGTCATCTATTTGGTGAGATTTCTTTAATTGTCTCTCTCTAGTTGTTGATTAGTTGTAGTTTTAGCTGGAGAAGAACATTGTATATCCATTATTTGATGTGAAGATTTTTCTAGTGGTCCATGATTTTTTCCTCTACACTAAAGGGTTTTTCATGTAAATTTTGGTGTGCTTTATTTTTCCTGCATTATTGATTGTTGATTGTTATCTATTACTGTGGGTTTATTACGATATATTACTTTTGTGTTGCTTTGTTTATTGCTTTAGGCCCAACAATAGATTCACTTAACTACTTTTAAGAATTAACATCTAATAAAGTTGAATTTAAATTCTAATATATGTAATTCCCTTACGAATCCTATTCATAGGATGATGCCTCCATTATTGAAAAAGCTGAAACTAATATTTCTTCTCTTATTAATTGTACATCATTACTCATAATTCATTATCACATCACAACGATGCTTGAGAGTGACTATTATATGGTTTGATTTGTAATAAATAGGACATCAATAGTTAAACATATGCAATGTAATTTCATTAAAGCAAACCCTGTACATGTACAACTGGGAAAATTAAGGCCTGAGCTGCTTTTATTTGTAATAATATTTTAGAAAATATGTAAATAGTCCCACAGATTTATTATTTCGTTATAGCTCATTGGAAAGTACACTTTCATATTCATTCATAGCTTCAATGCAGGTCTTATATCCTAGCAAATCAACTTTTGGTGGTGGAGTGATTTTGATTTGGTCAGTCTCCTTTTGACAGAGGCCATCCGGTGTGAATGTTTTTGGGCAGTCCCTGGGGGTGATAGAAGACTTGTTCTTCTCAAAACATAAACGAATTTCCAGCAATTGAAGCGTTTCTCCGTTCTTGTTGCATTGAATTTGGGGAGTTTTTCCAACTTTTGCTTTGACAGCATTTATAATTTCTTGTGCTTCATAAGGCTCTTCTCGAGGTTGAACATTTGTGCCTTGTAGAAGAAATTAAAATTAAAGGAATAAAGGAAGGAGATGAATATCAGCAAGTGATAGCTAGTCAGCACTAATTCTCTTTACCCTTAATATTTCATATGTCAATTGAATTAAAAAAGTAATTACACCCTATTATTTGGCTTTACATATGAAAGGTATATATATTTACCTGTATTCAATGAGTTTGGTTTAATTATCAATTATTCGAAAAAAAAAAATATTCGAATCCATTTTTCTCAAATAAGAAAAAATAATGGTTTAATTATCATAAAAATAGAGGAACAATGAATAAACATATAGAAGCTGCTTGTTTTTTCTTCATCCAAGAAAAAGAAGAGAAAATTTAGATTTTGAAAAATTTTAGGGTTTAATTTTTCTTTCCTATGAAGTTACAAGTTACAATCATGATCAAAATTATCAATAAAATAAACAAAATAAACAAATCAGTTTATATACATATATATAAGTAAATAAATCCAGTATTAGAATTAAGGTAGATCAGACTTTATTTAATGTGTAACCTCATTCATTTTCTTATTAAAACTATTGAATAGAAATTAGCAAGGTAGTCATGAAGTTTCTGTACATGGATACCTTTTAACGGATCATACTCATATTCTTTGGCAAATGTTAACGCAGCGCTGAAGTATTCCAAAGGCTTGTCGGCCGCATAATCCGAACAAATTCCATGGTAAACCCATTCATGTTTCCAGCTTTCTGCGCACATGTTTATATTTTTATAATTCTTATAGTTTGGCCAACATTTTTGCAAAGTATCTTCGATGTTCTTCAATTCAGGCTGTCCAAGCAATCAAACAAAATGAATAAAAAATAAATAGACTAGATGTAAAGAGGAGAAGGTTGTTATAAGATTTTAACCTCAAGTCCAGAGAGTTTAAGTTCAAATTTTTCAAGAAGAGTTTTAGGATTTATGAGAGAGCTAATTGCATTAATTTGTCTAAGTCTAATAAATCTGACGTGTATATTAAAATCAAAATTAGATGACGCGTTAAATATACGAAATAAAATCAAAATCAAGAAGAGTTTTAGGATTTATGAGAGAGCTAATTGCATTAATTTGTCTAAGTCTAATAAATCTGACGTGTATATTAAAATCAAAATTAGATGACGCGTTAAATATACGAAATAAGATGGTGATTTAAAAGTAATTTGCTTACCAAAAGGTTTTTCGGGTCTACAGGAGTGACATCGGTGCACTTATTCTTTTTCGGGTCATACCGAGGTACTTCCGTGTCATCTGCATACGTTGGCCACAAACCATGGATGGTAAAATAGCCAAGGGTATCTGGTAAACATTTTAGAGTGCCCACGTTACATGCAGAAGGCGGCCATCGAAAGCTAAGTTTGTAGAAACTGAACTCGATATTACCGCGTGGTGGGAGTAAGCTGATTGCAGCTAAGATACCAGCCACTAGAGCTCCGGTTAGCAAATGCTTTTGCCTCATTGCAATATAAATGAGAATGAACGCCTTTTTAGCTTTTGAAAACTCTACAATGTTGTGAGATTTATATTAGATCAAGAGCTTTTATGGGACCGTTTGGTTCATGGGATTTTCCTCGGTCAACCAAATAGGACAATATTATATTATGGACTTGACCATCAAGCACAAATAAACAATGCTTCTCTTGTTTTATTTTACTTTGTCAGAGGTGACGTATTAAGAAGGTTATGAAAACAAATTGCTAATAATGTAGTCAAAAGGTCCCACATGTTTCCCACGCACATTAAGGTGATGAGAAAGTTTGGAAAAAGAACTGAACTAGCAATGGTTCAGATAGACAATTTAGAGTGGGCGATATCAGTTTGCTTTGTCGTTCATTGACTTTTATGTCCTGAGTAGGTATGATTTAATGGTAATACGATAGGCATCGAAAGATAACTGAGGTCATCTGTTCCCATTAGATATGATTTAATGTTAATATGATAGGCATCGAAAGACTACTGAGGTCAATGGCAGGATTATGCTAGGAGCTTTCCTCTTTCATATTATCTACGATTACCAAAATGACGCATCAAATTGAAAGAAAAAAAAAAAGTTTTCTTAAAAAAGCATAAAAATAGGAATCAAACTGAGCTAAAGGTTGAAAACAATAAAACTGTTAAAAAATTTGCCTTTTAAATTCAATAATTATGTGACATATTTTAATAATAAAAGTTATTATTTTAGAAAATAATTATTTTTGGGATGTGTTTTACATTTACCTTATAAATGGTTATCTATTTAACTATATGGAAAATGATTAGGGTACATTAATATAATTAATGTACAAACATCCAAATCATATTATATGGTTAATTAATTCTATTTCATTCACAATCTTAATAGAATAGGGCATATTTATAAAGATTGTAACGTACCGATGGAATGGTTTGTATTGACTATGGATGTGAGACTTCGATTTGGTATGCTAGTGCATTTGGAATGCACTGAATTAGACTATGGTGAGAATGTATCTTTTAATAATGTCACTTATAAGATACAATTCTCAATGCTATTAAAAATTGTAAATGGTCCCCAATCTTAAGATAACGATGAATTTTAATTTATTATTTTTGTTTTTTTAATATATTAACGAATATGATTTATTATCAATCAATACCTTGATATATTGAAAAATTATTATTTTAAATTAAGAATATACATTCTTAAAGATGAAATTTCATGTTCTCATTGAGAGTAGAGATATTCCCTTAAAGCAATTTAATAATTTTGTTATGGAATCTAGGCCATATATTTTAGCATAAAGTATGTTAAAATTTATTAGTAATCACGGGAAAAAATTGGGATTCAAGGAATAAAATAGGTTAACAGTATACCTTTATTTCTTATAAAAGGATTGACTTTATGCTTGATATATTTTAATTATTTTCCAGAGTGCAATTATATTTTTAAATTTTTCATGAGATAAATGAAAATTATAGAAATGTGTTGGAGCTAGGAATTAAGAGTCCTCATTGATCCCTCCTTGTGCCTCTTTAAAGATTATCTAGTTTAATACAAATATTATACATATATATATATATTTATATATATGTCGGAAGAAAAAAATGGTCACACACCCTGCAGACCCAGGTTTTCCCCTTATCGCACCATCTACATTGAATTTCAAGAACCCCACTGGAGGGGGTAGCCACCTAACTAAATGATTTAAATATGATTCAATGATAATAATTTGCATGGAAAGACTACTTAGGTCAATGGTAGGATTATGGTAGGAGCTTTCCCCTTTCACACAATCTACAATTGCTAAAATGCTACATCAATTATGCTAGGCCACCAACTTTTCTGATTCAGATGGAAAAACAAAGGCCTATTCGGCGGAAATGTCAAAAAACAAGGTTGTTATATTGAGATCCTAAATAATAAAAGGGCAGAATAAAACCAGACGAAACCATAAACAAAGACTTGTGGTTGTTAGATGACTTGAACAACTTTGATTCCAGAAAATTTAACAATAATACCTATAAAAAATAAAAATAAAAAAAAATTCGAGTTTTTGCCGCCGAAGAAATTGGCATATTAATGCAGAATCATTGGCTAAGCCCGGTGATAGTCAATTTTAAATAAAAAGAAAGATTTTTTTTTTTGGCATAATAGAACAAGCTGGTCAAGGAGTAGGGGAACTTGGACTTTGAAACTTTCACACTCTCTTGCCGGTAAAAGCATGGAAAATGATGCACCTCAATTACAGAAGAATAAGTCGTTTGTGAAGTTTCAGTTTTCAATAAAAAAGGTAAAAATAAAGAAGAAGGATTAACCACGTTTAATTAGCTGATAAGTTAATATGCCACAACCAACTAAATAAGAGTAATTCTTCGTATTCTTAGAGAGAAAACAGGAAGAGTGAAAAGAATTTGGAGTTATTCGCCACTAAACAAGAGCTTATTTTGATAAGAATAAGAGAGAATGCAAAAGAATGCAATTATGGGATTTTCAATCAATAATTCATTAAATGGGACAGCTCTTACAAGTTATTGGATTTTATATAATTGTTGCAATGTGCGGGCTTGGGAAACCGACCACTGAACATGAAGAAAACAAAGTAAAACCATTTTTCAAAAATTTATCAAAATCGAGGATTCACCACTAATTTTTTTTAAGATATGATTGATCACCCAAAAAAGTTTATCTTTTTAATAAAACATTAAAACAAGTTTAAAATTTATTAAAAAATATTTTAGTCTAAGAAAATAAAATTTAGGTTCAAGAGTTTGTTACATGTAGGGAAGAATTAGCACTTCCACAATGTCCATAAAAGATAGTACCAATTGATTGTATGTTATCCTTAAATTTTTGTAAAAATGACCCTAAATTTAATGTTTACAAATTAATGCCTTAACTTTATTTATTCATTCCAAAAATTTTAAAATTTACGTTTTTGAAAACAAATCATTTTTTATTTTTTAACTCCTTTTTTAAAAAAAATCAATCATTTTTAGATCAAGATGAAAAATCCTAAATATTGAAACATTTCCTTCATTCCCTTATATTTAGGCGGAGTTTCGACAATGTCTCTAACTTTAGGAGTTTTCAAAATATCCCAAAAAACCAAGATAATATCTCGCGTAAATAATAACTGTTGAAAGTCTCCATATATTTAGACTAGATCTCAAGGGTTATTTTCACTTAAAATATTACTTTATTTTATTATTATTTGAAGCATTTTCTTACAACACTTTACCTATAAAACATGAAGATATATTATATGAATGACAATTAAAACATGAATGACAAATGTAAATGCATGAATGAAATGATAATTCGAAGATGCATGTGACAAATATAGTTAAACTAAAATGCATATGCATGAGGATGGAATAAGGGTTAGCATTTAGGGTTTAAGGCTGATTTGGTATTTAGTGAGGTTTAGGGTTGGTGTGGTTTAGCATGAGTTTTGTTTGGTTAGGGTTTGGCTTTGGTTTGAGATTTAGGTTCAATTTGGTTAGGGTTTAGTAAAGGTTAAGGTCAAGGTTAAGGTTTAAGGGTTTAGTTAAGGTTTAGGCTTGGGTTTGAGAGTTTGGGATTTGGTTAGGGTTTAGGGTTTAGTTATGGTTTCAATTCAGGTTTGAAAGTTTGGGGTTTTAGTTTGGGGTTTTGTTAAGTTTAGGTTCAATTTAGGGTCTAGGTTCAGTTTAGGTTTTTTGTTAAGGCTTTAGTTCAAGATTGGAGGTTTCAGGTTTTGGTTTGGGGTTTAAGATAGGTTTAGGTTTAAGTTTGAGGGTTTGGGATTTTGTTTAGGGTTTGGTTAGGTATGAGGGTTTGGGGTTTGGTTAGGGTTTAGGGTCTAGGTTAGGGTTTGGGGTTTGCATGGGTGGTTTAGGATTTGTGTTTGGGGTGTAGGGTTTGCATCGGTGGTTTAGGGTTTAGGTTTGTATGGGGGTTAGGGTTTGTGTTCAGGGTTTAGGATTTGCATGAAGGGTTTGGGGTTTGTATTTAGGTTTAGGGTTTGCATGAAGGGTTTAGGGTTTGTGAATATGCTTAAGTCGCTAAAAAAACTTGCTAAAAAGAAAATGTTAGAAACATACATATTAGCCAAACAAACAACATAAGCTATAAAAGTAGTAAACTATCATACAAATAACAAACAATATAACCACAAACACAGTCATATACATTAATCTAAGCAAGCAAAACATAAAATTGAGCCAAGGGGAGGTTCAGCCATGATGTAGAGAGGTTTGGCAGAACCTTCAAAAAGGCCAAACTACAAAACTACCCTTAAAGGGTATTTTGATAATTTCACACCTTTTGAAGTGCGATCAAGATTTTTATTGCATTAAAATTCATGAAACAATATTAAAACTTGATTTGAAGCTTTTCATGAAAAACTAACTTCATGCAAGTCAAATTACAAAAATATCCTTAAAAGGTATTTTCATAATTTTACACCTTTTGAGGTGCAATCAAAGTTTTTACTGCATCAAAATCATAAACTATGAGGCCCAAGACTTAATAATCCCATTCAACTATGAGTTCCAAAGGATGGCCCTAACTGGACCAAGTTTGATTGATTTTGATTAGGTTTAGCTTAGTTTGACTAAGGGGTATTTGGTTTAAATTGATTCCAAACTCAATTTCACAAATTATTCAATATTAATGAAATGTTGGATTCAAATTGGGCTACACTTTTAAAGTCTCACAACTAGATAGATTTTGTTGGACAAAATTATATGTTTATAACTACCGCTCTTTACATGTTTTTGAGAATAAAAAATAATACAAAGACAAATACATTAGTTTTGTTTGGGACTTGGACTCGATAAGGGTTTTCTCTCTCTCTCTTTTTTTCCTTCAGAGGTTTTGCAATTTTTTTTTTGTAAAACTCTTCCTTAATAGAGGCTTTGAAATTTTAAAAAATTAACTTTAGAAAGCTCCTCGAAATAAAGGCTTTGAAACTTTGAAATTTTAATTTTGGAAAGCTCCTCTAAACAAAGGTTTTAAAGCTTTACAAATTTTAAATTTAAAAGCTCTTTTAAACAAAAACTTTGAAACTTTAAAAATCTTAATTTTAGAAAGCTTTTCTAAATAGAGACTTTAAGTCTTTAAAAATCTTATCTTTGGAAAGCTCTTCTAAACAGAGGTTTGGAAACTTTTAAAAATCTCATCTTTGGAAAGCTCCCCTAAATAGAGGCTTTGAAACTTTAAAAATCTAACAAAGGTTTTAAAATTTTAAAAATTTTAA